CGGCGGTTCCAGCTCGCTCAGTACCAGTGCCTGCTGGTGAAGTACGCCAAGGACACGCGCTACGGCATCTCTGGCGTCTCCACACATGACAAGTGAGTCCCTGGGGCAGGAGGACCCACCCCTGCGGGCCCAGCAGCTGGGCTGCCTGGCTCACCGTCTCGCCCTAACCCACAGGAACACCATGGAGGCCCTGCCAGCCTGCCTCCTCAAGGACGTGTACCAGGAGGCGCTGGGCTCTGCGGTCATCGGCATTGATGAGGGCCAGTTCGTAAGTGCATGGCCAGGGCAGATCCTGGGGAGCTCTGCAGGATGCAATCTTCAGAGCACCCTGTGCAGAAGAAGGTCTGAATCCTCTGTAGGAGGGGGCGGGAAGAAATACCTTGGGGCAGGCTGATCCTGCTGGACTATGCCCGTATAGTCAAACCCTCCCTTTCCCTTAGTCCCTGCAGGCTGAGGACAGCGGGCCTGGAGTCCGTTTCACGGACAGGCAACATGGCCCTAATTTTCTTTGTGCCTTGTGCTGCTGTCTGGGCATGTGCTGCTGGATCCTGAGCGAAGTGCTGCCCCTTCTTCCTCCTGACGCTGTTTCTGTACCTCCTCTAGTTCCCAGACATCGTGGAGTTCTGTGAGATGATGGCCAATGCTGGGAAAACCGTCATTGTTGCTGCTCTTGATGGGACTTTCCAGAGAAAGGTAAAACACTTTTTTTTTAGGACAGCAGCTGTTTTGGGATCCTTGTAGAACCCATCCAACAGAACCGCCCCCGCTGTCTTGGCACAGGCCTTCGGGAGCATCCTGAACCTGGTGCCGCTGGCAGAGAGTGTGGTGAAGCTGAACGCCGTGTGCATGGAGTGCTACCGAGAAGCCTCCTACACAAAGAGGCTGGGAGCGGAGAGGGAGGTGAGTTCCCCTGGAACAGAAAGCACTTCAGTAGCTTCACCTTGCCAGTCCTGCTAGTCTGGCAGGAGATCAGGATCAGGAGATCCTGAGGGACCTCCTCAGGGGAACGGCTCTGCAGAGTCACTCTCCCAATTTTCTTGCCAGGTTGAAGTGATTGGAGGAGCAGACAAGTACCACTCTGTCTGCCGAGCCTGTTACTTCCGCAAGCGACATCAGCAGCCTGGGTCGGAAAACAAGGAGAACGTGCCCATGGGGGTGAAGCAGCTGGACGTGGCTGCCTCCCGGAAGATCTTTGCTTCTTGACTGCTGGGCTCCCGCATGGGGAAAAACGAGAGGAAGGAAGCTAAACGCTGTGGCTCCCAGATGCTAGATCTGGCTTCCCCCGCTTTTAGCAAAACTGTTAAGTGTCTTAGCTCTGCCTGCCAAACCAAGCCGCCCTCCCTCTGCACCGAGCACCAGGAAAGAGGAGGATCAACTGGACCTGATGCCGGGGGGGAGCTGAAGCGGGAGCCTGACTAAAAGTGAGTTCCTTTCTCAGAACACAGAAGAGAGACAGGTGTAGTTACTGATGCTGCCACACAAACAGGTCCTGGAAAACTGTCACAGCAAGCCAGGCCGCAGGGCTTCCATCGCTCGCCGTAGTTCTGGCCTGCTCTCCTGGTCTTCTGCGTATGTTCAGACTGGCACCGGTGGCTGGTTCGCTTGCCTGTGAACACAACTGTTTCTTTATCTCTCTTGTGCGTTGTTGCTAAATTCCAGGTTTCTTAAGACAATGTGCAGTAACGTAGTATTTTAAACCCACTTCCTTTTTTAACGCAGTTTGAGGAGATAACCCATTCCTTGTCGTAGAGCTGTGGCACAACTTTTCAGCTGACACACGCATCAGCAGCCTGGCCCTCAGCAGTCCTTTTGAATCATCGTGCGCGGCCTGTCTGTTTGCCGTTACGCCCACTTGCTGTAACTGTCTTGTAAATTTTTATTGAAACAGAAGAGGGGGGGGACGGCCTGACAGTAGGCTCTTCCTAGCTTTTGAATTTTAAAAGGGCTAGCAGCAGTCTAGTAGTAGTCTGTGTATTAAAACAGAGTCCTTTTGGAAGAACTAGACTTCACTTTGGGAAGAGCCTCCTCTCCAAAATCAGGGTGGTTTTGCTCAGGTCCAAGCTTGGTGCTGCCACTTCGGTGCTTAGTTACCTGTGAAGGGTTTGGAGGCTCAGGACTTAATCTGTAAAGGTTTGGGCTACTGTTCCTGCGAAGATCCAGCTACTTGGAAAAGGGTCTCTTGAGTGTATGGTTCTCAACTCTAGTCATGTATCTTGCTCCCTCCTGAGCCTTCCAAAAATTCTTGAGGCTGATTCTTCCTCTGCTGTAAGTTGACTGAAGGATCCTCTTCCCCCTTTGTTTGACTTGGCTTCTGGAAGGTTTTTTGGGTGGTGTTTGGTTTTGGTTTTTTTTTTTCCTTTTTGCAAAAGTCCGTTTCCCTGTAAGCTAGCTCTTGGTTCCGGCCAGGTTAAATCTCCATGTGCAAATGCAATGCTCTCCGTTTGCCTACACCCTCCAGTGAGGATGAGGCACCTCCTTAGAAGGTTACAAGAGCCATCCGAAACCCCCTGCTCCCTCTGCGTTACTTGAAGCGATGACAGTTGTAGTACTCACAAGCACTTGATTGCCAGGCCCGGGCTTTCCCCTTAGGGATGGGGAAAGCAGCACTGCTACTGGTTTAGGTTAATAAATAACTTAATGAAATTGTCTCTGTGTGTTTTTACCAGACTGCTCTGAAAAGGCTTCCCTGCAGCCAACAGTGTGCAAACAGTGCGGGCCGATTGCTCACAGCAGCAGCCTGGGCTTGGTGGCTGGTCGCAGGGGGTGGTGGTGGAGCTGTCTGCTCAAACCTTCTACCAAACAGCCTGCGAGGAGCAGGAGGAGGGCTTGCCTAAAAATAGCACTAGCATGAGTGTGCTGTTTGCAGCACAGCAGTTGGCTGGGGCTGCTCTGCTGCTTCCCTGCCTGGAACCCCCTGCCCCAGCCCTCGGGGAAAGAGGAGGAACCCTGGTTTTTTGCTTCACTAGAGAAGAAAGGCACGTGGTGGCTAGGTGAAAAAGTTTATTCCATCTCTACAGTGACAAACAAGGAACTACTTGAATACCAGCCCCAGCAGCGACAGCTCACATACCACACGCTGCTGCCGGGAACAGCTTCACAACAGGTGCAGCAGAAAACACAACCTGAGACAGCCAGCCTGCACAGGCGCTGGAGCGGCACCCTCGGGTCAGCCGTGAGCGCGGGCTGCGAGCAGGGCGCTTGCCGAGGGAGCAGCGGGCATGATGTGGGATGGCAGCCTTGCTTTCTGCAGAGGCAGGGCTTAGCGGGAGGCAAGCGAGGGGTGCCAAGCACCGAGTCAGCAGGGAGAGCGCTCCAGGACCTTCCTCGGACACCTGGAGCAGCCACGGCCCCACTGAGAAAGCTCAGCACTCACCGCTCCCACGGATCCCAAACCACGTCATCCGAGCACCGGCAGCTCTAGTGCAGGCTGTGAGAAGGCACAGCACGGGAGTTTATAGTCAAAAGAAGACAGGGCTTTGGCATCAAGCTCACCCAGCAGCAGCCGAGGCGGGGAAGGCACGGGAAGCCGGTGGCAGGCAGGAGCTGGACCGCACCCGCCCGGCTGTGCTATGGCAGTGAGAGCCGGCACTTGAGGGGTTGCAGCCGTCGGGGCTGGGAAGGCACCGGTGCCAGGGCAGCAGTAACCAGGGCC